GCGCCGCTCCCGCCCGGCGGGCCCCGGTGGAGGAGCGCAGCCAGGACGCGCCGCTGGGCCGCGGCGGTGGAGGTGCGGGTCGCGGGTGCCCTGGTGACGTAGCTGCTTCCTCCGCCCTGGGCTGCTGCCGCTCCTGGTGACGGAAGATGCTGGTCGTCTTCGGAGTGGCAGGTGATGGTTAGGACATCGGCTGTTCTTGTCCGAGTCCACGCCGCTCCCTGTCCACAAATGGGGCTTTACCATACTTTGCTGCTCTCGGGTGGAACACGAGCGATTTGTTTTGGCTCTCTGTTTACAAAGCACACTCCCAGGTGTCATCTGTGGGCAGTAAGTGCAGTTAAGGGAAGTGAGGTTGATAGCTTGCCCAGAGCCGTTTTGACTGCAAATGCTGTTCTCTCAGCACCGAAACAGCAGCTGTCTTGTTCTGAAACAGTTGTCAGACTCTCTCTGTGTGTGTGTGTGTGTGTGTGTGTGTGTGTGTCTGAGAGGGTACAGGCGCCCTTGGGCAGAGAGGTAGGGAGAGTGATTCTTAGCTTCAGCATTAGTATATGGGGGGAGGGGGGCGGGAAGGTACTTCATTCCTTTAAAAAGATCACTAGTCTGTACTCGTAAGTTAAAATTTTGGGGAAAAAGTAAAGGCTGTTTTTATTTAGCATTTTACCCCTTGGTTTATACCTTCACAGTGTGCGCTCCTTTGCCTAAGACTTAATCTTCTAGAGAATAAAATACCATAACAGTTCTTTACACCCCTCCCCCCAGTGATCAAATGTCGCGTTCACTTTTATTTATTATTATTATTATTATTATTAAACCTCAAGATCATTGAAAGTTGGTTTCTTGGAGTGTGAGAGAACAAGAGAATTAATACAGGAATCTGAGAATGCAGGTCATTGATGAGATAGATTGTTAGCTAAATTCCATTATGTGTTCAGAGAGGGTAGGGTTTCAACTTATTATTCCTTTCTACCTTTCTGTAGGGTTGATACCAGGCTGATTTGAGAACATTTTGTAAAGTGCTTAGCGTGATGCTTAGTATATATGAGTAGTATTTGTTTATTCTACCCAGAGGGCCTTGTGCGGAGGTTGGTGGATGATAGGCAGTTGGTATATATTTATTAAATAAGGGAATATTAATTTGCTCTCCCCTGTCCTCTCTCTTTTTGCTATGAATTCCTGCTAGTCAGGGGAACAGTGGTTTGGAGATGGAAATACTATTCTTTACTGCCCATCCTTAATCTAAAACAACTTTTCTCAATGTAAGCTATTTTTCAGTCAAAATGAAGCCAGGAGGTCTTGGGATGTTTAAAGTAATGAACTAAATCGTATTATCCTGGGATTTATTCTGTTCATTTTTTGTAAATATGATCAGTCACAATCATCTTTAGATGATTAGTAGTGTATCATGAAGCTTTAACATTGTTGAGGTAAAGGTTCGATAACTTTTCTGAATTTTCAAATACTTTATTATCACTGTAATATAGTTTCCATGAAAAAAAATGTAGTTAAATATTCAGCTTTTCTGGCTAAGAACTGTCTCTCAAGGCTTCTTATATTGTCTACTTCTATCTGAGATAGAAAATAACTGGGGAGGGGGGTGCTGGTTTTTTAAGTAATTTCTGGAGAGAAGAAGGAAGTCCTGGGCTCTTAACCTATGTTCATTTACTAGCTAAGTGATTTCTGACCAGCTTCAACTTTGGATTTTAGCCAGATTACAGATACTACATGATAGGGAGTTTGGGTCTCTTTCAAATAGTTGGAACCATGGTATTAAGTCCTACTATGGAGTGACATTCTCTTTTTTGTATTTTTTTATATTTTGTTTTATAATTGATTTTAAAGAGAAAGGAAGTGACAGGGAGAGAGAACAGAACATCGATTGGCTGCCTCCTGCACAACCCCTACTGGGGCTTGAGCCTGAAACCCAGGTAGGTGCCTTGACCGGGAATTGAACCCACGACCTGTTGGTGCATGGGACGATAGTCAACCAACTGAGCCACAACTACCAGGGCCAGTAACATTCTCTTTTAAAGCATCAGTTTGATCTCATTTTATGACAAAGTGGATAGAGGAAGGTGTGTTATATGAACGCTAAGTTTACTTACAGAAATGGTTATGTGTATATATATAAGTACATATGTATATATATATTTCTTTTCTTTTGTTTCAGCACTCTGTTTTCTACAGTGGACACTGATGAAATACCAGCCAAAAGACCAAGATTAGGTATTGATTATTAATTTTAAAAATTAGTGTTTTAATAGGAAAACTATATGTATATAACAGAATTCAAAAGCTAAAAAGTATATATAGTGAAAAGTAAGTCTCTTTCACATTCCTTTTCTACTCAGTTATCTTTCCTGGAGGTAACTGGGGAACTAAATGTCTTTCTAGATAGATAAGCCTATAGATTGAATATACATTTTTTTAAAGTTTTTTTTTAATATACATTTTAAAATTCGAAATCTTTCTATAAGGAAAAGTTGCTTTGCCCTAGCCAGTTTGGCTCAGTAGATAGAGCGTTGGCCTGTGGACTGAAAGGTCCTGGATTCGATTATGTACCTCGGTTACAGTCTCCATCCCTGGCCCTAGTCAGGGCACATGCGGGAGGCAACCAATCAATGTTTCGCTCTCTGTCTCTTCCCCTCCCTTCCACTCTCTCTGAAAATCAATAGAAAAATATTCTTGGGTAAGGATTAAGAAGAAAAAAAAAAGAAAGAAAGAAAAGTTGCCTTTTTTTAAAAAAAGAAGGGTGAGGAGTGGAGGTGCCCAAAGGGAGAGGAGGTGTGGCTGTGGGAGGGTTGTGGAGCAAAGAGCTGAGGAAAGATGGATTCTGATCACATTATTTGAGCACAAGGATCCATGACTGAAATCAGAGCTAAATGGGTTTTGCAGTTACATGAGTTGATATATTCTCACAAATCCATTTGCCCAGCCAGTGTGGTTCAGTGATTAAGCATTGACCCATGAACCAAGAGGTCCCTGGTTCAATTCCTGGTCAGGACACATGCCCAGGTTGCAGGCTTTACGCCCAGCAGGGGGCGTGAGGCAGCTGATAAATTTTTTTATCTCATCGATGTTTCTAGCTCTCTCTCTCCCTTCCTCTCTGTAAAAAAAAATCAATAAAAATATTTAAAAATAATAATAACAGTGTCAATGAGAACATGATAAATGAAATAAGAAAGGTAGTAGCAAAATACTATCCAATTATTAGCTGGCTAAGAGTCTCAGTGGAAAGTTGGGGAAGGAGCTAGTATGTGAGATGGGTCCCGAAGGATGGATAGGATATCAGCAGGGAGCAATAGTAAGGAAAAGCTTCCTAGGTAGAGGGAATTGTATTGGAAAGTTGTGCAGTTCAGGAACTAGTGGGTAAAACTTAGGGGAAAAAGTTGGCAAGAGAGAAAAAGGTCAACTTATGGAGGCCTTTGAATGCTAGGAATATCCAAATTCATTAGAATGGTATTTCCCAAAGCACAGGATAGATATCAGTCAAGAAATGATTTTAGGAAGTACAGTGTTCATAATATTAAGTAATATTTGAATTATGTTATATACTTAAAAAGTTGTATCCTTTTCAGTTATTTTAAATTCCTGGTTATTTTAAGCAGAAAATCTTGAGTGAATGCTTAGTATGTCTTCAATACTTGTCTAAAACAGTTGACCTTTAAAACAACATGGGGGTTAGGGTAATCAATTCCCTCATAAAGTCGAAAATGTATGTATAACTTTTGACTCCCCTAGAATTTAACTAATAGTCTTCTTTTGACTGGAAGCCTTACCAATAAATAGTTGATTACACACACACACACACACACACACTGCATTCTCACAATAAAGTAAGCTAGGAAAAATGTTAAGAAAATCATAAGGAAGTTAAAGTACATTTACAGTTATTGAAAAAAAAAATCTGTGGATACATGGACCTGCACAGTTCAAACCTGTGTTATTCAAGGGTCAATAGTACATGCTAATCTCTCCTTGTTTAATAGGCCCAGCTAGAAGTTAATATTGTTGTGTTTTCTTTATAAGGCAAATAATGTTGGTTTACATTCACACAAGTAATATAAAATTACCTTTCAACATCCAAAGAAACCCAAAACATTAATTCAAAGGAATATATGCACCTACATGTTCATTGCAGCATTGTTTAACCATAGCCAAGATATGGAAGTAACCCAATATGTCCATCAATTGACAGTGGGGAAAAAAAGCTGTGAGCCCTGGCTGGTGTGGCTCAGTTGGTTGAGCATCACCCCATGCACCAAAACGTTGTTAGTTTGATTCCTAGACAGGCCACATACCCAAGTTGCAGGTTCAATCCCCAGTTGGGGTGCATGCGGGAGGTAACTGATTGATGTTTCACTCTCACATCGATGTTTCCCTCTATTCCTCTCTCTCTAAAAAAATCAATAAAAACATTTTTTAAAAACAACAACAAAAAGCTGTGGTATATAATACACAGTGGAATACTACTCAGCCATAAAAAAGAATGAAAATTTACCATTTGTGACAGCATGGATGGACCTGGAGGGTATTATGCTAAGTGAAGTAAGTCAGATGGAAAAAGACAAATACCAGTATGATTTCACTTATATGAACAAAATAAACAGTAGAAACAGATTCATAGGTACAGATAACAGACTGATGTTTGACAGCGGAGGAAGGTTGGGGGACTGGGTGAAAAAGGCAAAGGAATTAAGAAGTATAAATTAAGAAATATAAATCGGCCAGCTGACATGGCTCAGTGGTTGAGTGTTGACCTATGAACCAGGAGGTCGAGGTTTGATTCCCTGTCAGGCAGGGCACATGCCTGAGTTGAGGGATTGGTCCCCAGAGTGGGGCATGCAGGAGGCAGCTGATCAATGACTCTCTCATCATTGATGTTTCTCTCTCCCTTTCCCTTCTTCTCTGAAATCAATACGAATATATTAAAAGAAGTATAAGTAGGTAGTTACAGAATAGTTACAGAGATGTAAATTTCAGCATAGGGAATATATATCATAATAGCTATGTATGGGACCAAATGGATACTTGAAATATTGGAGAGCTGCTCTATAAAGTACATGATTTTATAACAACTATGCTGTACACCTGAAACGAATACAGAATAATATTGAATGTAAACCGAAATTGAAAATAAAAAATTACCTTTCAGTCCTGGCCAGGTAGCTCAGTTGGTTAGAGCGTCATCTGCATACACCAAGCTTGCAGGTTCAGTTCCTGGTCAGGGCGCATACAAGAAGCAACCAATGAATGTATAATGAGTGGGACAACAAAATTGATGTTTCTCCCTCTCTTTCTCTCTAAAATCAATGAATAAGTAAACATATTTTTAAAAATTACCTTTCAAATACATTTGTTTACCAAAAGAGAGTCAATTTTAAAGAAAAATATAAATAACTGTATGTGGTAAACAAATAACATACACAGTGAAATTATAGACGTTTCCAGAAATAATTCTGGCAGTCATCCATTTTATGGACTTCTATGTTAAGGATCTGTTCCTTCACGATTTCCATGAAATATGTGTTATGATTTTCTGAATGGGAACTATAGAAGGAAACCTAAGGCAAGGGGAAAGCAGTGAGTAGCAGAGGTAATACTGGCAGAGTTTGTAAAGGTTTATAGTAATGTTAATAGCCACGATGGCTATTGAGCACTTGAAATGGGGTTAGTGCAACTGAGGAACTGAATTTATAATTTTAATTAAATTGAAACTTGGGTAACTTACATGTAGCTAGTGGCTACTATATTGGCAGTACAGCTCTATTGGTTGCTTTTCAGAGAAAAAAAAGGAAGGCTTAAAGAAAAGGAGGACCTTAGAATTCAGACTCATGACTTATAGAAGAAAAGGATTTTAAGAGATTTTAGGTTAGTCTCAGGAAAATAAAGTGGTCTTACTCCATTTTATAGATGAGGCAGGCCTTTTTTTTTTTTTTAAGTCTGTGTGAACTTTTGATAAAATCTTAGGCATACTTAGGTTTTGACAAAATCTGTAAGAAAATAAATATTATGTTACTTTTTAGTGTCCATTATTTAACTAAGTTGTTAAGAGCACCTCTTTTTTATTGATTTTTTAGAGAGAGGAAGGGGGAGGGATAGAGAAATAGAAACATCCCTACTGGGGGATCGAGCCTGCAACCTGGGTATATGCCCTGACTGGGAATCGAACTGGTGACCTCTTGGTTCATGGGTCACTGCTCAACCACTGAGCAACATGGCCGGGTAAGAGTACCTCTTGTCCTCTGAGCTTGGATGACTGTCTGTAGGTTTATCACCAATCCCTAAGGCTGCTTTCTCCCACATAAAGCTCACATTATTAGAGGGCTGACCTGGAATTCTTTCTAATTCCTAAAAATGAGAAACAGGATATTTGTAAACTTTGTTTCTTTTAACTATGAAACAGGTCATTTGCAAACTGGTTCTTTGAACTATTCTCTAGTTTCAAATGACTTCAGATTGGATTCTGCTTTACCCAGTTATCATATCCTCCCTGCTGTTTAAGTTATTTCACTATCTTTCCGGAAAGTACTATATATCTTATCTGTTCTGGAGTGGTTGTTGCTTAAAAGCCACCATTTCAATTTCAGGTTGTTTTTCTCTAAAGCAGAGTGTGGCTAAGGTGATGAACTCCTTCTTTCAAACCAGTGCTTTAGAATACCCTTAATTAGGAAATAGAAAGTAAATTGTAGAAAATAAGTCATCAGTGTAGGAAGTAAGAAAAGGGTAGTGATAAAAGGAGGAAGTTAAGAAAACACAAATTTACCCCTCCCCCTTGTTTATTTACTTGCTTATTTTGTAATCTTTGTTTGGAGGCAGGGAGGGTGAGTCCGACACATTTTCCCCAGTAGAGGGATAGCCTTGTTTTATCATAGATGTTTAAGAATTGCATATCTTATACCTCAGTAATTTCTACCTTGGCGTAGTCAAGATACTATAGGCACTTAGTAAGTAGTTGTTTAGGACAACTATAATGTTACCTGCCCAGGAAATAAGGACAAACCTATGAGTAAATGATGTGTTTCCTGTAGGATTCTGCCATACCTAGTGACTATAAACTCCAGGTTGTTAAGTTATGCCCCTGACCCTTTGGTATAGATTTCCTTTCTTTTATATATATACTAGGGGCCCGGTGCACAAAAAATTGTGCACTGGGGGGGGGCGGTGTCCCTCAGCCCGGCCTGTGCCCTTTCGCAGTCTGGGACCCCTCGGGGGATCTCTACCTGCTGGCTTAGACCCGCTCCCCGGGGGATCAGGCCTAAACTGGCAGTCAGACATCCCTCTGGCAGCCAGGGAGCCCTTGGGGGATGTCCACTTGCCAGTGAGGAGCAGGCCTAAGCTGCAGTTGGACATCCTTAACGTTGCATTGAGGCCTGCCCCCTGGTGGTCAGTGTGTGTCATAGTGACCAGTCATTCCCAGTCCTTCTGCTGTTAGGGTCAATTTATATATTACCCTTTTATTATATAGGATATATTTTATTGATTTCAGAGAGGAAGGGAGAGATAGAAACACCAGAGATGAGAGAGAATCCTTGATCAGCTGCCTCCTGCACGCCCCGCCCCTGGGGTTCGAGCCCATAACCCCGGCATGTGCCCTTGACCAGAATCAAACCCAGGACCCTTTAGTCCGCAGGTCGATGCGCAATCCACTGAGCCAAATCAGCTAGGGCTCTTTTTGTTTTATATATTTGGGAAAAATTATTGCTTGAAAGCTGTCCTTTCAGGACTTTTGTGTGTGAAATCTGTGTGATAGTTTAATATTTTTGTAGCATCCCAGATATCTTACTAAAAATACAAAAAACACAGTGCTGGAATTTCAGTTATTCAAGTAGGAGAAAAGTCTTTTTATAGGCAACTTTTTATCTCAATGATTGAAAATAGGACTTCTAATAAAAATTGAGAGACCTTTTTTAGATACAATCTTACTACTTTTTAAAAATACTAGAGGCCTGGTGCACGAAATTCATGCACTTGGCGGGAGGGGCTCCTCAGCCTGGCCTGCACCCTCTTGCATTCTTGGAGCCAGCAGTTGGACATCCTTAGCACTGCCAGGGAGGCAGGAGAGTCTCCCACTACCACCGCTGTGCTCACCTGCTGTGAGCTTGGCTTCTGGCTGAGCGGTGCTCCCCCTGTGAGAGTGCACTAACCACCAGGGGCAGCTCCAGTTTTGAGCATCTTTCCCCTGGTGGTGAGTGCATGTCATAGAGACTGGTCGTTTTGCATGTTAGTCTTTTATTGTATAGGATGTTTTTACTGATTTCAGAGAAGCAAAAGGGAGGAGAGAGGTAGAAACATCAATGATGAGAGAGAATCATTGATCTGCCTCCTGCACATCCCCTACTGGGGGCCAGCCCACAGCCCGGGCATGTGCCCTGACCAGGAATTGAACCGTGACCTCCTGCTTCTTGGGGCGACACTCAACCTCTGAGCCACACCGCTGGGCTGCAATCTTATTTTTTTTTTGCCAGAAGTTTATTACTCTAGGTTTATATGTATATGTAATTTGTATTACACTTTCTAGATTGCTTTATTCACCAAGTGAAAAACGGTCTCTACAATGCTGCCAGCTTGTTTGGATTCCCATTCCAGCTGACCACAAAGCCCATGGTAGCTTCTGTAGCTTCTGCTTGTAACGGAACACGGAATGCGGCTCCTTCAGGAGAGGTCAGTGGGGATAGGACTCCTTTGGCACTATTGATTTTGGTACTTAATTATTGAAACTAAATTTTGGAAATATTCTCATTTTGGGCATTAATGTGTAGAATGACTTCTATCCAGAAATATGCATGTCTTTATTAGCCTTGATATATAGGCCAAAAACTTAAAAGTTTAAGAAATTACACTTTATAAAAGAAATTACATATTTAAGAAATATTTATAAAGAGCTCAATTACTGAATAATAACTATATTTGGAGACCTTGGAATTGTTAATTTTTTTACATCATTTTGTGAGTCTTCACAAATTAAATATCTGGTTTTATTGATGATATCTCTTCTGTGAGCTAGCACCAATAGAGTGATTTGTATTTTTTTCATATTAGAAACTTACTTAAATTCTAAAATTATATACTACAGTGGTTATTTTATTTGATTTTAAGGTATTTTCGAACTCTTCATCTTGTGAACTGACAGGTTCCGGATCCTGGAACAACATGCTGAAACTGGGTGAGATGGACAAAAATATTTCTGTTTCCCCCTTCCTCCTCCTGCCTCTTTTTTCTGAGTTTTGAGACTATGAAAGGAGGAGAACACTGCTTTGATATGAAAACACAGACATTCTCTCTGTCATTCTAAAAGGCAAATAGCTTTCCTTTACAATTGTCTTTGAATTTACTGTTGTGTTTTCTATTTGGATTATCAGTGTTCATAATGTAACTTAGATCAAGTTTCATTTCCTAAAAACAACACACAAACATTTCCTGAGCACTTTCTCTGTGCTAGGCACTATGCTAAGTTATTCAGAATAATAAAATAATAAAATACTTAATAACAAAATAATGAAACCTTTAATAATAAAACAAATAGCAATAATAACAAAAATAGTAAAACTCTGCCTTAGAAGGACTTCTTTTATGTGTGAATCTGATTGGGGAGCAACCTTAGGTCTCCAGTTCTCATAGTTTTATGGATTAGGAACCTCTATATCATCCAGACCCCAAAATTGAATTGTTAATTTTATATTATACTGTGCACAGTGCTATGTGGGGGTGAGGGGTGGAGGGAGCGGGGCTATAGGGAGAAACCAGAGTCCTGAAAATGGTGTGATCTCTGCCAGGCAGGTAGGTATGTAAAGTTTGAGAGGAAGGGGAAAAAGAGCTTTTAGAGAAGTTGTGGGTTTAGAAGTCAAAAGTGCAAGAAGCTAAGGAAATGATAAAAACCTTAGAGAGTGCTTCTCAAACAAACTTTTTAAGTCAAGTATCTCTAGTGACAGATGAAAGGAAAATAAATGTGTACCCCCCAAGTCTGAGAATCTAGTTCCAAGGGACCTGGGGACAAAGATGATACTTCTTTGAAGCCTTTCATTTTATTTAAAAAGTAAATACAAATTATATTTCATAATCTATTTATATTGTTTGACTATATAAATGTTTAAAATTATTTGCCATTAAAATTGACATGGAAAGGCTAGTAGATTTATCCTGCCCGAGGCATCAGCAGTATATTTCTGTGGGTTTGTGTAGTCTAGTCAGAGAAGCACAGGTATTTCTTGGGCAGGTTTCTAATATAATCAAGTCCAGTCTCTAATCTGAAGCCCTTAGAAACGTGTTTGGGGATTCTGAATTTATTCTATTTTAGATATTTTGTGTTTATTGAATATTATTGTAAAAACCCATTGGATTTGAACATTGGTTCAAGTCAGGTTTTGCAAGCAAATGAATTCAGGTCAGTTTAGGTTTTGCTGCTACAATTGCATTTTGGAGTCCTCAGGAACTCCAAGCCCCTGTAATAGCTCCAAAGAAAATGTGGCTGATGAAAATTTGGTTACCATTTTTTGAAGTATAGTAACCACTTCACAAGTGTTAGAAGCTTCCAGTGAAATGTAGTAACATGTGGCAGGTTTTCACTTAAAAATACTTCTGTTTTCTTGGGAGAAAAAAACAACTTGAAAAATTCTCTTAATTTGATTAGGTTGTAGGGAGTTTTATAATCATTAAGTTCTTCATGCCTCTTATTGATCCCAGCAAGCAAAACTAGGAAAGCTTGCCCATGAATTGTTATTGCTTATCTAAGATCAAAGACAACCTAAGCACTATTGCTTTTTCTTTAACCTTACAAAGGTTGTTCTAATCTCTGTGCTGTATAGTAATAGAATTTGAAAAAATAACATATATGGTTCTACAGTGTAGACTGATCATACAATTTCTTTTCTAATGCAGTGTTCACAGATGTTTTTTAATTAATTAATTAATTTATTTATTTACTTATTTACAATTACAAATGCATTTTTAAAATAGGTAATAAATCTCCTAATGGAATAAGTGATTATCCAAAGATCAGAGTGACAGTAACTCGAGATCAGCCTCGCAGAGTCCTGCCTTCCTTTGGGTAAGTGTTAAATTCTGCCTTTCTTTACATGGAAACTTAGCACATATTAGGTGCTCATTCTTGTTAGGCATTCACACTTTTTTCTATTATGTAATCTTGTTAATTAAGTACTCGAGCTTACCGAATATCATGCAGCTAATGAGAAACTTGAACTCAGGTATGTGTTACTTTTTCTGCCATATTATATGCCCATAGCATCTGATTTTGAAAACCTTTTGAAAAAGAATTGCCATTCACTTATAAACTTTTCAAAAAGTATAATATGCATGCAGAAAAGTGCGGAAATAATGTGTCTAGCCTGATGAATTTTCATACACTGAACTGTTTTTTCATTAGGGTAATTTTCTTCTTCTTTTTGTGTTCCTACTTTCTAGAATTTCTACTACTTGGATATTAAACATTTTTTAAAAAAATATATTTGACCTTTTGCATTGATCTAATTTTTCTATAAATTCTATTTTGTCATCCTTGCCCTTTAAAAAGAAATCTTTTACTGATTTCTTTGTGAAGGGGCTTCATAGTTTTCTGTGTGTTTGTTTGTTTTTATATATTCTTTGATTTTTTTACAGAGAGGAAGGGAGAGGGATAGAGAGTTAGAAACATCAATGAGAGAGAAACATTGACCAGCTTCCTCCTGCACACCCCCTACTGGGGATATGCCTGCAACCAAGGTATATGCCCTTGACCGGAATCGAACCTGGGACCCTTCAGTCCTTAGGCCGAAGATCTATCCACTGAGCCAAACAGGTTAGGGCAATAGTTGTGTGTTTTTAAAACAATCACACACTTTCATTCATTCGCTGATTTGGCAAAAACT